AGCGTGGGAAATACCAAATGAAAAACGGGAAACAATTAAAAATCTTAAACCAAAACAAAAATTAATGAATTGGTTACAAGCAAAATTACCAACACAGATTAATATTGCAAATTTTACTTCGGATTGGAATGATGGAAGAGCTATTGGAGCTGTACTTGAGTCATGTTATCCAGGTTTATTTCCAAATTGGGCTGATCGAGATCCGAAAAATGCATTAGAAAATGCGAGAGAAGCGATGGATTTAGCTGAAAAATGGCTTGGAATTCCACAAGTAAGAAAAAGGCGATTTTTTCACTCAATAAAAGAAATATCGAGCTAAGATTACATTTTACCATGAGATGTTTTTTTTTGTTATGAATCTATTTTCGAATCAGGATTTATACCTTTTAGCTTATTCAACCACATGAAATGGTAAATCCACAAGTGGATGAACAATCAATGATGACTTATTTATCACAATATCCAAATGCGCAATTGAAGCATGGTGCACCAGTTAAACCCAAAAATTATGCAAATCAAGTTCGTTGCTATGGTTTAGGTTAGAAAGTTAAATTTAATTGAACTATTGTTTTTTATTATCGTTTTTGTTAAATTTAGGACTCGATCGAATGGGACATATTGTTGATAAACCAGTTATATTTCATATTGAAACATGTGCAGCTGGTTTAGGTAAAGTTGATGTTATTGTTGTGAATGCCAATGGTCAAACAGAAGAGGTTTGAAAGAAACTATTTTTTTTTTCATTAATTTACTATATTTCTCTATTTAGTGTACTGTGGAATTTCGTGAAGATACAAATCGAACATATGATTGTGTGTTTTATCCAACTATGCAAGGAGAATACAAAGTAAATTTTGTTTGGAAAAGAAATTGTTCAATTAACATATTTTTCTTCTTCTCGATTTAAAAGATTATTATTACATTTAATGAACAAGAAGTACCACATTCACCATTTACAATTCATGTTGATTTAACAGAACCCATACCTGAAATATTAATCAATGACGATACTGATTCGCCAGATAATGAAATTACACGTATGTTAATTTTTTTTGCTAAAAACTAAGTTAAACGTGAAAAATTATATTGATTTTATTATTAATTAGCTTCAGATGATAAACAACCACTTTATGAAAATATCATTCAAACAAATGCTATCATTTGTGAAAGACAAAGTGATACAACTGAAATAAAAATAACAAATTTAGATGAAGAAGAAAATGATATTATTCTTGAAGAAGAAGATCATCTATATTATGCCCGTGTAAGTTATTTCCTATAATAAAGTATATAACAAAATATTGAACCTAAAGAATTTCGTTTGGAATATAAATAAGTCGAATCATAACTCAGTCTTGACCTATAAGTTCCTTACAATTACATATAATGATTTTTTCTAAATAGCAAACAAATATTACATCAATTCAAGATCATCAACTTCGTCGACAGATTTCCACACGTTCTATATCAGATCCAACATTGAATAAACATCCATTTTTGTCTCCGATCAAACCACCACGAACATATTGTCATGATGAACAAGACGATGAATTAGTTAATACTTTCTTTTATTTAATTTTTCATTAATAAACAAAAACGGTATCATTTTAGGTTCAATCACCATTAGTTTATAGTCTAACAGATTATCGTTTAAAACAAAAACGTCATGATGGTTATGAACTTTCAACAACAAATCGTCCGAATTCAATTGTAACTAGTTCAACAACATTAAATTCAACAACATCAATATCAACTGATGATACTACACATGAAAATAAACGTTCAACATCAAAATGGTTAATTATTGATGAAATAAATGTAAGAAAAAAAGAAAACGTCATATATTTTTATTGTCTTTTTATAATTTAGCGTTTAACAGATTTATCTAAACGAGAAACATCGACATTAACTCAAACATCTCATGCATTAAAATGTTGTTCAAATGATCCACATGCTGCATTATCAGATAAAAAAATCGAATGTGAACGTGTGATTTTTATGGCTCGTATGTAATTCCTAAATCTATTTTTCTGTAAAAATTTTATTTTCTTTTTAGGACAAAAATTAACATCGTATAATAGTGAAATAAAACGTTTGGAAAATCTTGATCCAGATAGTGAATATTATTCATCGGATATTTCACATAGTACATTGATTTTACAAGATATTCGTTTAGCAATTAAAGAAGATTATTTAAAATCATTACGTAAAGGAAAAGGTTTGTTAGATATTTCTTTTGAGAAATTATTTTATATGATTTTTGTTATAGAAACAAAATTTTATTTTTTTATGTGTGCTGTTCATTACCGTTCACAAACACTTTTTTCACATATGGTTTCATCATTTGATGCTCTACAATCAAATGGACAAGTTATTTTTTCGAATCGAATGATTATTCGAGAAGTTGAAAGCACTTTTGCTGCAACAATTGGTGTCTATTGCATGGTAAACATGATTAATAAGAATATCTTTCTTTTATTTTAAATTAATTCTTTTACTAAAGGAAATTACAATGAAACATGCAATAACTGGACTTGATCATTCACCACTTGTTTGTCCTCATCATCATGTTTCAAATATTAGTGAATGTATGCAATGTGATAAACAACGATTAAATACTTCTGGTATGAATTTGAAATTTCGAAATGAAATTTTATTTTTTAATTATTAGTATCAATACCTGGTCAACATTCAAAAACAAATACAATGATTCGTGTAAGTAATTTTATTCAAGTTGATGCTATTACTATTCGTAAAGAAGATCTTAAATCACAAGAATTTATGCTTTCAGTAAGTTACACTTAATATTTTGTAAGAATGAAATAATACATGTTTTTGTAGATTTCATCGGCATCGATTCCACTTAAAAATAAATTATATGTTAAATTACAACGTTTATCTGAATTGAAAATTCGTAAAGCTGGTTATATGGTAACTTATGAAAAAAGAATTTCACTTAATTTTTATTTCTCTTCTTATTTTTAGACAATCTATTGTGATATTCATGGATCAGGTGTATGGATTCGACGATGGTTTACTTTGACTAATGAACAAAATCTTCGATATTGGCCATCACCAGAAGATGAAGAAGCGAATGTGGTAAATTCCGCAAAAAGAAATGAATTATATTTTATATGACTAAATTTCTTTTTTTGTTTAGCCACCAACAGGTGAAATTGATTTACATTATTGTATTGATCAAACAGTTAATGTTTTACAACGAGAAACATGTGCTCGACCACATACATTTGAATTACGTATTGCTATGCCTGCCAAAAAAGCTACTGATCATGGATTTATTGAATATGAACAAAATGAAGAATACTCAAGTAGTTCTATCATAGCACAACCATTTGGTAAACGAACATTATTTCGATATTGGTTAAGTGCTGATTCGAAAGAAGATCGTAATGATTGGTGTAGTATACTTAATCGAAATTTAGCTGATTTACGTGAATGGGAAATGAATACATAAACTGATCTAATTATCTATATTCTTACAGATCAGTATTTAACTAAATTACTTTTCTTCTTTCTTTTATTGTTATCTATATGCAAATCAAACGTTCATGTGTGTTGTGTTTTGTCTTGTCTATCTATGTGCACATATTTATACATATGTCGATCTGTATAGCGACGAAGTTTTTTTTTGTTATCTAAATTGTGAAACTGTTTATATTTTGTAGAAAGAAAACAAACTAACGAATGGATGAAATTTCTGAATTAAATAGATTAATTTTTACGTGTTTGAAAGTAAAGATGAATGATTTTCAATGTTTATCTACAACTTTTTGTCTAATTTGTGCTATCAGATAATTAGTAATGATTACTTTGCTCTTGAGTAGTATGTAAATATATATTGATCAAAATTCTCTAATATATTGTTCCAAGTGAAGTACCATTTTTAAGAACTTATGCGAAATATTCCCAAATGAACTAACGAGGGAACTTCCCGAGGTATCAAGAAGCTTTTGAGCTGAAATTTCTCTCACAAGTAGGGAATACATAGACTAGAAAAAGCCTAAAAGGATATGTGCCCAAGTTGGTGTTTGCCTGAGATATCGACTATTTATTGTTTTTGTCTCATTGGGCCCTATCTGTGCGGTAAAATCAAAGTTTCGAATTTAGGCCTGAAACTTTGTTCACGCTAAGACCTCAATCAAACAAGCTTGCTCATAAAGTTTCATAAATTTTAGATGGATTATCTTTGAAATATGAATCCGTGAAAATATTCATGTGAAACCTAATATTCATAAGAAAGTGTCTTTATGGTAACATACTTGTATTTCGGAGACAGTCTTTAAGAAACTTCCGAAAATTTGTGAGAAAGCTTGTCTGATTGAGGTCTTAGTGTGGACAAAGTTTCAGTCCTAAATTTGAAACTTTGATTTTACCGCACAGATAGGGCCCTATAGGACAAATACAATAAATAGTCGATATCTCAGGCAAACATCAACTTGGGCACATATCCTTTTAGGCTTTTTCTAGTCTATGTATCCCCTACTTGTGGAAGAAATTTCAGCTAAAAAGCTTCTTGATACCTCGGGAAGTTCCCTCGTAAAAAGAAATCTAGAATAATTTGATATTCAAAAATCTGAACCGAAAATGATATTAATCAGTTACAATTTTATAATCCTTATTCATTGTCATTTCTATCAATCTCTTAAAAATTCTAATACGAACACCAAATAGAAAAAACAACTTAACACTCAACTGTAGTTGTATTTTTAAAGGACAAAAGAATGATTATTTGTTACTTGATAAAATGAAAGACTTTCTAATTTATGACTGATCTTGGTAGAAATTCGCATCATCTAAGTAATATCATTTCTATTTGTCTAATATGTATGTTGAACAATATAATCAATAATTTCTTAGATTGTTTCTTTATAAATTATATTACCAACAATCTCAGAAATCTAAACAATGCCTTTTCTCTTCAAAATAATCTATTAACTTGGAAAACATATTAAAATATATCTCAGTCATTATACTTGAAATTAAAGAACAAAAATCGTATATGTTTTCTTATAATTTAAATTATGTAAATTAACACCATCTTTTGTTGATACAGCCAATATATTTGTACCAAATAAAGTAGCACAATAAGGAATAGTATTATATGGTACTATTGAATTTATTTTTCCTGTTTTTGAAATATGTAACAAACGTCCAAGTTCATAATCAGATATAAGCCAATCGTCATCAATAAATGAACAACAATGATATGGATTATTAGGATTCCATGTAACATTAAGTGGCAATAACCAAATACGATTTAATGTTTCAGCCGAACGTAATTCCATACGTGTCGTACTCGTTAAATTATTTTTAATTATCATAGCAAGTTTACCATTATTATATGTAAGAACATCAATATATTCATCTTTTTTACATATATCATTTGATTGCCATTGTTTATCAAATTTCTTTGAAGAATTCAGACATATTTTTGTAATAGATGAACCCCATTCATTTGTTGTTAAAAAAAGAAATTTATCTGAACAAGTACATGAAAACCATTTTCGTTTTTGACTTATTTTAACTTTTTCAATTGACATCGTATTTTCATCTAATAAGAATATATTTTTTTGAGTGATTAAAATAAAACAATTTAATGTTATTGACCAACACATATCTAAAATAACTTCATGATTCCATGAAATTCGTTTGAATATTAATAAACCTTGATTAATAAGACACAGATTAGGTGCTTGATGAATTAATAAATTTCGATCGTTATTCGCTAAAACTGCGTAACTTCCATTTGGACGATTGATAGTTTTATAAACAGGTGAAAGAATTGATAGATCAAATGTTTCTTCATTATTTCCTCTAATATTTACCAAATTATTATCTAATATTAATGGATGAGTAGATATTTTAATAAATTTGTCTTCAATATTATTTAATTGTCTTTCAAGATGATCGATATTTAATGTTAATTCATAAATATCATCATAATTAACTTGTTGTTCATGAACAAGTTTAACAAGTTTTCTTTGAATATAATTAAATTCTTCTCGGTCTTCATCAATTTTATCAATAATAAGACCATGAAGTTCTTGTTGTTTTTGTTGAAAAAATTCATCAATCTTTTTATGAGAATCTAAACGCCATTCTTCGAGTTTTTCACGATAATTATCAACAATTTTTCGAATATCTATTGTTTCAATACGATTATATAATCGATTAATAATATCTGTAAAAGAATTCAATCGACTGTTGAGTTTATCATTATGTTCATTTAAATGAACTATACAAACATTTTCTTGACAACAATGACATAAAGCACGTGATACACGATTGCATGAATTGACAGCACATATCTCAGACATTTAACCACAATCAACAACGTCTATCAATCTCTTAAAAAATTCTTATGAGAATACCAAATAGAAAAACGAATGTTTTTATCGTTTAACTGTAGTTGTATTTTTAAAGGACAAGTGAGCGATTATTTCTTACTTGATAAAATGAAATACTTTCTAATTTATGACTTTGAAGATTTTGTCAATATTGATTATGACTGATCTTAGTAGAAGTTCGCATCATCTCATAAAATTCTCAATGGAATATTTAACTATCGATTTATTTAATATGTAATTTCTTAAATTGTTTCTTTATAGACTGTATGACCCATCTTCTAAAAATAACAGCAATTATCAAAAAAATTTGATTAACAAACGAATCGTTTACAAATAAGAAAGAATAACCTAAAAATAATTATTCATACATTGATATCCATAAAAAAATAGTTAATAGCGAGACATTCGTATGAAAAGAACCATTAAAATGTTGCCTGATTCTTAGTCATGAATTATATAATCGTATATGAGTAAGAATTCAATAGAAGTAAAAGTAGATGTAACCTTGATGGAATATCGATTTATTCCAACATGTATTTTGAAGAAATTAAAATCTATTTACTTAGTGATAAAATCTAATACTCATTTAGTTAATAAAATAGTTTGAAATCTTATAAAACAATATTGATCGAACAACGATTTTTGTCAATAAAATATTTTCATATGAATTTATACGACCTTACTAATGATTAGTCATCCGATGAAAGTTGAGACATGCGAGAAGAAGAAAAAAGAAATCAACCTTTACTCACGTTAATAACAAGGTTCTTTTTTTTCAAATCTTTCATAATATAACAATGATTTATTTCTTATCATTGTAGTAAAAAAGAATATAGATTAACATTCTTTCGACTTTGACAATAAACATTCAAAATAAAAAAACAATATAATATAAAAACATGTTTCTATAGCCAATCCCATTCATCACTATAAGCATCATAATAAATATCGTCATCATCATCATTTATACCGCTATGCTTGTTTTTCCATCGTTGTCTAACTTTTCGAACAATATGACGCGTTCGAGCTTGTAATGTATAACAAGCACCATTTGATGAATAATAATAAAATATAAAATGTGAAAATGATCGAACAGAATTTTGAAAATTTCCATTTGCAAATGGTTGAAATAAAATCGATAATAAAATAAATATACGATGTACATGTGAGGATAATATTATAATACGTGTTGTTATTAAATGAATAGCAGATAATATTGATCTTATCATTTGTATCCATCCATAGATAACTCTTATAATTTGTACAAGTTTTTCAATAAATAAAAATATTTCGCGAGTTATTTTATCAATATAAGAAAATATTTGAAAAATTAATATTACTATTGAAGATAATGATTGGTATGTTTGATATACATTTTTAATGATACCTCGAGAACGAGACTTTTTTTTTGGAAATTTTTCTTCTAATGCGTATAAATCAGACTTCAATCGGTGTTTACTAAAATAATGAAAGTGATAATATAAAATTTAAAAAAAAAATTCAATCAGTCTTACGAATGAAAACAAATAAGAAGTGATTTACGACTAAATAATTTATAATCATGCCGCTTCTTAGGCTTTTTCACAATCATCAATATTCGTTATTTGACAAGTAGTTCTAACATTATAAATATTCATGTATAAAAATGTGATAATAATAAGAAATGTATATGACGCATGGTAAATACAGGTAAAGTCACTTGTAAACACCAATGTACGTCACGATTTACTTGTTCTCTTCTGGATTTAATACTCTAAAGAAAAAAAAAAGAAAAATTGCGAGACGTTCTGTTTATAAACAAATAATTCATATGTTTTTCTTAATGATTATATGTAAACGATATTTATACTATTTTTGTTAAGTAAAAATCTATTAAAAGATTAAATCTCTTATCGAATTAAACAGTGTAAATGATCATGTTTCTCTTTCATTTGGCTATCAAATATTTGAATTGAAGAAAAACAGTATGAATATAAGGAATCGTGTTTTTTCGATGTTATCATATTGCTAGTGATAATAAAATCAAAGGTGATTGATAAGATTGAAATATGGAAGAACTCATAAGTTTATGAAAAATTAGTTAAAGAATAATTTACTACTATTTCCTATAATACAAATTAATTAATTAAATATTTTAATGTAATTGAACAGTTCTGCTAAAAATAGAATATTATATTTCATAATCTTTCTCAATGGAGTTTTTTTGACCTATTTTCATATTCCCTTGTAAGTATGTTCAATATTTTAAGAATCTCTTGAGATAGATCATGAAATATATTCTTAGAATTTTAATAGAAGTTCATATAAACTAGATTATAATACATAAAAGTGAAATAAATCTTCTATATCACGACTCACTTTCTGTATTAATGACTGTACAAGTTAAAACATACTGTAAATTAGATTTGTATCAAGAAAAACACTTCACTTAAAACATAAGATAAAAATCATTATTATTGTACTCACTATATGAATAATATCAACAGCAAAAAAGAAATGGTGTGGGTGTGGGTGGGTGTATTAATAATGTATATGTCATAGGTAAGAAAAAAAAGGAATATACGTAATGTATACCTATAAAAAAAATTTTCGTCATACTTTTTTCAAGGATCGTACCAATCATTTATAATGCGACTGTAATAAACCAAGGCTGATTTACTCTTTTAGTATGACTAAACTTGATGCAGATAATTATTTATTATTAGTAATACATAAATGTTCTACCAAACATCGAATATGACTAATGATACAGTGGCAGATTTAAGGAGGAAGTGCATTGTGTGCGATAATACGGTTTCGACTGAAATCGTCCCTCATCATAAAAATCCTAGATTCGTCACCATTTAATAACAATATATATTCTAAAACAAAAAATATATGCAATCAACTTGCATGTTCTATCCAATCTTGTCACTCGGATATTATTTGTCTCTCAGACGAGACAACAAAAAGGTTTTGATAATCTATTCTACGATCATCTCTAATATTAGTTTATCGAATAGGTATAATCTACTTAAACATTTATTTACTAATTTCATACATATATTCTTATAGTATTATCTGTATCACGTTCATAATTATACATGAATTTTATGTTGTAGTTATGAGTATAAATAAAAACAGAATTTTGTTGGATGAAATTCATCGTCAATGGGAATCAACAAGTTCAATTTTAGTTTGTCAACTGATGAACTATTTAAAAATATTTTCACAACTGATCTGATCGATTTGAATACATATTCAATTCATTTCATCTAGATTCACGAGCTTGGTTATCACTTTATTGTACTTGTCTTCCATCATTTTTCATTGGATCTATAATTCATTTATCATATTTTGTTCTATCATATGACTTACAAATATTCGTACCCGATTTTAATTGATACTTAGTCAATTTCTATATGTTACTATATCTCTAGGAAAAAATTGCTTGGTATTGTATTTACAAAAGTATAGAGGAATACTAGACGATGATGAAATAAAATATCAAATAGATTGATCATAGAATGACGAAGAAAAATAAATCAAGTACATATCAATTGTTACAATTCCATTTATTTCAAACATTCTTATCGTTTAAATAGACTTTTTAAATACATGTCTCCTCACAAATATAAGTTAGAATAGACTGTTGTATTTTGTTGAAAAACTAAACATTTTTTTTTCTTGGAAACTAAATCTCCTTCGTTGTTGTCGAGTTTGATTTGAAACCAAAATGAACATTTTATAAATACTGTCTCCAAGTTGGAAGAATACCTGAATAATTTGCACTAGCTAATGGACATCCATCTCCAGTTGATCCTCCTGATCTCCATAATGAAGAAGGAGTATTAGTATGAGGCGAATTAAGCACAAAAAATATTACAAAACCACATACAGCTACACCGCAACTCATTGCAGCTGAAAATATATATGCATATTTTTCCCACCAATCATTTGCATGACGATATATAATATAATTAAAAATAAATCCAACTATAACCCACGATGGAAATGTAACAGTTGGAGCTGGTGGAAGATTAGCTGTTGCCAAAAGAAGAATTGGAAAATTAACATATGATATCCATTTAATCTCAGGATATTTTTTCCATAAACACCAAGTTATTATAGGTAATACGAAACCAACTGGAATGGCCCACAATATCGGAAAATATTTTGAACCTGGCCTAAACGCTCCTAATTAATATAAAAACCTTATAGTCAAAGTTTGATCAAAAAAAAAAGATTTTCTTATATACCAACTACACCAAATACTACTGATGCTGTATGCGTATTTTCTACATTGAGACATTTCCATGCAAGATTGCTTTTTGAACATATTTTTGGAACATGATTAAGAAGGTATATTGCAGTTATATAATGAATTATACAAGATATAACTGAAGATAAAATTAATGAACAAAATACAACACGAGGAGAGATCTAATAAATTTCAGAACAAAAAGAAATTAAAACAAAAGAAATTATAATTAAATTTACTTTCATATAATGACCGATTTTAAAGCTTGTTAAATGTACAATAATTTGATTTTGACATGCACATGAAAATACACGAAATGTTAAAAAACCAAGTGGATGACCAGGTAGAATTATACCAGTGATAAAATCATTCAGAGCACATCCAGCTTAAATATAATATAATCTAATAAAAGAACAAAAAAAAATTTCGTTTTTTAAACGAACTTAGCATCATATTTGTTGTTGCTGTTATGATACCATTTGGTAGAACAAGAACAATGAGAAAAACAATCGTTACTAAAGGACAAAATTAAATTACAAAATTTATTGTTTAAATTTAAAAAAAGGTGTGAAAATATACAAATCATCACGGGTATTGGCATTAATTCATTATAAGAGCAAAAAATTGCTGCAACTAAAAGTGTCAGTAAAAATATGATATAATACCTGTTAATAATCATAAAAGATAATACGATATAATACAATTAAATACTTACCACCAGTCGGGAACT